GAGCGCTGGCCAGCCGTACCCCGGCGTCCTTCCCCTTCGCATCGTAACCAGCAGAAAATGGCAAATGTCTTCACGGAGATTGGAGCCTGCCCCACCGAGGCCGTGGGTTATTGTCACCTCCGTTACGGAGCTGCTCTGTGTGTGACATCCCCCCGAGGGAGCCGGGCAGGGCGCAGGGTCTGCAGGGGATGCGCCTGCGGGTGGGCGATGGGAGCTCAGCATTTGCTTCCCAGTGACGGCTTCTGATTTCTTTCCTCTTTGGCTCCGTCCGTGGGGACAAGATGAACCCCTCGGCTCTGCCCGCAGCTTCCTCCCGGCTGCTGCCTCGGGTCCAGGCTGTGCGGGGAGCAGCGTTAGGGAGATGCTGAAGCCGGGCTCTTACAGCGGCTCAGCCACCCCGCGCCCGTCAGCGCATCCCTGCCAGCCACCCGTGATTTTCCGTGTCCCTCCAAGGGAGGTTAAGCCAGAGAGCAGTTACTGGCTTATGGCAGAAGTGTATAAAGTTTTATAGCCTGTATAAAATTTTATCCCAGCTATCATGCCTGAGGGGATAGGTTTCTCTCCATGCATTTGCTTTTTGTACACGAGAGCCTTGTAAATTAAAAAAAAATCTGACTTTTCAACCTGATAAGGGCGTCCACGAGAAACCCCGAGGAGCTCTCACGGGTGTGCCACGCTTCTTACACACCGGGTGGTTTCCCCACGAGTGGTCAGGCTGGCTGTGAAATGCCAGCGGGCACCGGTGGGTACCAGGACGAGGGATTCCCGAGCAAGGACGGTCTCATAAAACCCTTTCCCAATTTACTGCCTGATCAGCTCAGCATTAACGCTCCGTAAATATTAGTTTATACCTCTGTTGTCAGAGCGAGTAGCAGCTGCTTTCCAATAAATCATGAGTCGGCGGCGTGTGCCAGGCGGCATGCTCGGCTGGAGCCGGCAACACGTGTGCGCAGGGGTTGCACAGGCGACATAAAATGGGGTGGTAGGTTTAATGACTGTCATTGTGAATTTGCTCGCCTCGGTGTATGCCTCGGCTTGGTAATATGCCTGATTAATGCGATCTCAATGACCTTCTTCCAAGCAGTTAAAAATACAGTAGTAATAGTAGCACTTACTTAAGAGGTTTCTTGAATACAGTGAAATAGGGGAAACGGCTAATTCGTTGCACTTAACTCCATCATCAGCTGTAACAGTAATGAAGAGACTTTGTCTTGCTCAGAGTCTAAAGCGGAGGCATCAGGAACCATTCCCTTTTAGCCTGCACTTGGCAGGCAGCAGTGTAATTTATAACCCTGCCTGCTGTCAATAAGTGAGTTTGCAAAGGGCTGCGGGCGTTTATAAAGTAATAGGAGGGGCGGGTGGCAGATGAGCTGAGCAGGGACCGGTTATTGCTTGCACACCCTTAATCCAGGTGTGCTTGATCCCAGACCCCGCTGATATCCGTGGTGAGGAACCTCCAGCCTTTCCAAGCTTTCCCCCATCCGCACGGTCGCGGGCACCCACCCGGCACGTGGGGACCGGCAGGGCTGCGGGTGGGGGTCAGCGATGGAGACTGGGGCAGCTGAAGATGAAGAAGTGCCCATGGTGGTCACAGCGGTGGACGGGACATTTCCAGTTTCACCCACGGCTCCTCCCGGCTGGTTTCTGCGAAGTGTCCCCGCGGGCGGCTCTCTGTCCCGGTGACACAAGCCACCAGCGGCTCCAAATGCCAAGTGACGTTCGGAGTTGGTTGGCAGCTCCTGGGTTTTTCTGGAATGGCCAAATGTGGTATCTAAGCAACAAAGGGAATTTTTCTCCTTTTAGATCGGATTTGTTTTTTAACAGCTTCAATGCTAAACGTTGCTCCTACCCGGGCAGAGCCAAGGCATGGGCACACCGGGGACATCGCCCTCGCCGGCTCCTGCTCTGCTGCAGCCACGGAGGGTCGGAGCAGATAGAGCATTGCTGGAGGAGACTGCTCCAAGGCCACCGCTTTTCTGAGAGGCTTTGAACGTTGTAAAGTGTGCGGGAAAGGAGAAGTTTGCAAGTCTGATGTCAGCTGGTTGCACGTGAATGAAAGCAAAGCCCTTAACCCAAAGTAGACCTGGCCCCGTGGGTCGCATCGGCTGCTTTGGTAGTCGTCACTGTGCCACGTCTTGGTGCTCACGGCTGGTGGTACTGGTGATTTGGTACGCTGGGAGCAGCTGGGAGCCCAGGATGAGCCCGGGGTCTGCTGTGGGCTGCTCTGGGGGGGTCACCCAGCTGGGACAGGGGGACAGGGCACTTGGGGGGCTCCAGGTCCAACCTCCTGCCCCACTGACAGGCTTCTCTGGGTCCTTTCCCCACAGGGTGCAGGTCGAGTTCTACGTGAATGAAAACACCTTCAAGGAGCGGCTGAAGCTCTTCTTCATCAAAAACCAGCGATCGAGTGAGTGCTCCGTGGAGTCTCAGTGTCTGCCGACACCAAGCCCGAGTGTCTGCCGGCAGAAACCAAACCCTGCCCGAGCTGGAGGGCCGCGGTCC